TTGGGTATCTCAGTTTTTCTAATAAAATAAAATATAGAATAGAATAGTAGTATGTAGAGTAGTGACAAGTCAAACAAGAATAACAATAATAAAACGATAGTTATTGTTATACACGCTGATTACATCTAAAACAATTATTATGGAAAAAAAATAATAAAAAAACACATGTAACATATTAAAATATTAATGTCTCACAATTCAAATATTCGTCGATGGAGTAGAAACAGTGCCTTAACACTGAGTGCTTAACTCTAGCCTTGAAACGGTTGTAACTCAGACCGGTAATGTCTTTTGGTATTTTATTGTATAAATGTAAGTTGAGTGAATTTCGAGCTGATAGATCCAGTCAATAAAATTGAGGCCTCAGGTGTGCACCTCTTCGAGTAGGGTAATTATGAAAGTTAGCATTTGTAAGGTACTTAGTATTCTTTTTGTGAATCTCTAAAATGTTATAGAGTATGAAAATACAAGGCAAGGGTAGAATTTTGAGTTTTTGAAATAGAGGACAGTGTTCTCTGTAAGAAACATTGGCTATGATCCGGATTGTTTTTTTTGCTTTAATTGTTTTAAGCTTTAATTGCATGTGAAGACTGACCCCATAAAAGTATGCCATATGTTAGGTGGCTCTTAAAAAGAGAAAAGTATGTCTGTAATATCATACTTTGACTAAGACACATTTTCAGCTGTCTTAGTAAGAACATGTGTAGAAAGTGTTTTACACAGACCAAGCAACATGTGCTTCCCAAGTTAACATGTCATCAATTTTAAACCCCAATGTTGCTTCTTCGTTAGTTATGAATTTGATGATATTATAATTTTCTGTGTCTTATCCCTGTTTAGTTTGAGATAATTTGAAGTAAACCAAGTTTCACCATCATTATCTGTTCTAGAACAAATGATACATCATCTGCATAGCAAAAAGATACGCTTAGGAGTAAAAAATTAAAAATATCATTGATATATACTATAAAAAGAGTTGGTCCCAGTAGAAATGCAGTCGAACGCCTTGCTCAGATCAAGGAATATGCCAAGTGTTGATTCTTTGTTTTCGAAACCTTCAGTTATGAAGTCGACTAATTCGAGCACTGCTTTTGATGTGCTTCTTCCTTTCCTGAATCCAAACTGTCTATCTGTCAAGATATTTGTGTACTCTAAATAATTTATCATTCTTATTGCTATTATTTTTTCTACAATGTTTGCAATTACTGGAAGTAATGCAATTGGTCTGTAGTTTGAAGGAAGATTGATATCACTACTTTTAAAGACCGGAATTATCTTTGCAATTTTTAGTTTTAATGGAAATATACCAGATTTCAGAATCAAGTTGATAGTACATGTAATTGGTCGTAGAAGCGCAGAGATTTTCTTTGTACATAACCACTGAGTGATTGTAAATATCAAGCAAGCCCGAGTTTTTTAGGGATTTGATGACTTCATTCACCTCTGCAGTATCAGTTTGATAGAAATGCATCGAGTTATCAGCAGTGCATGGAACTTGGTGGAGATAGTTTGAGAATGAATTATTGGTTGTGCTCATTTCATTATTCATATCCAGGGCCACATTTATAAAAAATGTCATTGAACTGCTCTGATGTAAGACAAGAAGAGCTATTCGTGTGATCATTACCACCTATGTTTTTATTTATAAACTGCCAGATTGTTTTTGGTTTATTGTTCGATTCATTCAGTTGTTTCATCGCCTTTTCTCTATTCATTTTCATAAGTAATTGTTCGTATTTATATTTTTTTTATTCAAATTCTGATTTGATTTTCTCACAGTTGTTAAAAAGTTTCAACTGATCATTCAGTTTCTGATTTTCATTTTTTGCAGCAATTACTTCTGGATATGAATAAATGCTAGGGTCACGCTTAGAATTCATACTGACTTTCATGGGAGGAAATGATACTTCCATATAGTAGTTCAGAGTATTATAGTAAACTTGGATCANCAGTAGTAATTGGAGTAACTACAGCAACTTTCAATTTTCCAAGAAATATTCTGTGTTCGACAGAAAGATTAAATGAATCATTGGATTACACAATTCATGAACATATTTTTAGGGAGTTTGTTTGAGATTCAGTTAACTTCATTAACGTCAGAATCTTTGAGTTTTTCATCAAAATAATTGAACTCTATAATTGGATTGAAGGAAAACAGAAAATGGCGAATTATCGATATCACAAAGTCAAGATCACCATCCCCATGTTATGTGACACGAGTAGAATTGATATTGAATTGATATGACCACATGAGTAATGGAAACTTCATTTTCACCATCGTGAATTGAAATTTCCTTATGCCAGCTAATGGCATAGACTTCCCAGCCCAACTTCGAATTTAATCAAGGATTCCATATACTATAATGGTGGTAAATTGTTCAATCATTTACCAGTAGAAATGAGATCTGCAAATCTAAGAAACATTCATTTCAAAAAGGCGGTGAAGAACCTACTTGTTGATATACTCTATTAGAGTTTGGAAGAGTATTTTAGCGAATCTTTTCAACAATAAATCAACAATGTATTCTCTGTACTATCACTTTATACATGGTGGTGTTTTAGAACTTTTTTTATATTTACATTTATACTTTTTTAGAACTCTTTCTATAATTAACATTGTATTTCTTGAACTTTGTCAATAAGATGCAAATCTTCGGACAATAAAGTATATTTTGATTTGATTTGAGTAAAGAAAGGTACGATATTGAAACAAATATCATCAGGGACGTAGCTGAAATCAAAGGGTATTCTTCAAATATTGTAGGTAAGTTAATTAGGAAATGTAAATTTGGGGAGGATCTTCGCAAATCTTCGACCTTCCAAAAAAAACATGTATTCAAAGTTTATTGTCCTTGAACGTGAAAGTAGCTTTCAAAACTTCTTGCTAACTTCAACAAATGTTAGGTAACCCTGAAGACAAGATGTTGGATAAGTTAATTAGGAAACGTAAATTTGGGGAGGATCTTCGCAAATCTTCGACGTTCCAAAAAAAACATGGATTCAAAGTTTATTGTCCTTGAACGTGAAAGTAGCTTTCAAAACTTCTTGCTAACTTCAACAAATGTTAGGTAACCCTGAAGACAAGATGTTGGAAAATGAAACGTCGGGGATATATAAAATAAGTTGTGAGGAATGTGACAAAAAATATTTCGGTCAGACTAAGCAAACCATTAAAACTAGTTTCAAAGAACACGCAGCATATATCCAATTTCGAAAACCAGAAAAATCTAGTGTCACTCAACACGCCTCATTATGAATCACTCTGTTGAAATTTGCGGGAACTTTCACGAAAGTGTTTCCTAGGGATGTACATTGAGAATTTCAGAGTTAGGAATTGGTTTTCATCATCTACTGAAGAGGAGGCCAACTTGGTTGGTGAATCACATGTCGAGAAGAGTATTGTATTTCTGGTGATTAAGAAAATGCTTGTTTTAAAAACCCGCTAATTTTAAAAAGCAACATGTGGAAAATAGGATTGAGGTGGAAAAGGGTGTCTAAAAATTGGTCTAAGTTCCCAATATATTTCTATTTCTCTCATAGTTGAAAAGCATTTCCACTTTTACCATGTGCGCCTGAGGAATTACCCAAATATCCAATTCAAACAACCAGCAAAAAATGTTTTAATAAGATAATTTAGAAAACTGAAACGAGTCTGAAATGATTATAATTTAATATTTTCTAGGACGGATCAGAGCTTAAAATGAGCCTAAAATCTTTTTCTGTGGATTCTAACTCAATAGTTAAGCTGAGAGAGAACCTATGACGTTTCTATTGAAATAAAAGCAAGAATTTCGTATGCAATTTGTATTAGATATAATGAGTGTAAGAATTCGAAATAAAATCTGTTTAAAATCTGTTTTTCCTTTAATCAGCTGTCGCCCCCATACGAACGACAACTCTCAGAAGTTGAGAAACTTGTGCGAGCGAAGGACTGATCTTACCTTTTAACGTGTGATTTCCTAACACGGTTGCAGAATCATCCCAGCTTCAACCAGATAAATTCTCACGAGAAAAATATATGGTCAAAGCAGGAATCGAACCCACGGTCTTCCGATCGTAAGTCGGGCGCGCTACCACCGCGGCCAATAGTTCTAATAGATTCACAGGCCTTTTGATTTCCAAAATATTCGTAAACTAAACGATATCATTATGTTTTGAATGTAACTTCAAACTAAATTGAATGTCAAATGTCTTCACATTGTTAAAAATATCATTTTGAAATATATATTTCAACACAAGCATGCAACACACCATGTTAATGGTCTCTAATTTTAGAACAGATAAAATTTTGATTCAATCAAAGTTAGACAGTCAAAGTCATTATAAGTCCTTTATGATCTAAACATTCTAAACTCGAAACTAATGTTTCAACACTCACGTGTGCGTATAAATAGGTATTCCCCTTCGAATCTGATATCGCAGAGTACTTGCTGTCAAAACTAATATTCCCTCATCAATTGGTAGAATCTGTCTCACATCCTCTGTTGCATGTATTTGGAATGAAGTATATTTGGGCATTGCTGGTGCAATGTATGATGTAACATGACCCTAAAAGTATATCACTACTGCATTATTCATTTATTTATTCAGGGCATTGCCACTTTTTACATAATTTGTCGTAAAATCACATAAGTGTGTACTGAGAACTAAATTTTACAAAAATTGTCGTAAAATTACATAAGTGTGTACAGAAAACTAAATATGAAAATATTACTGTTGACTAAATATAACAATATACTAGTTAGATAAGTTTTTATGATTTTTTTTTTGTTTCAAAACAAATTTAAAAACTCTTACGAAGCACAGATTGATTCTGCTCATAATTTGTAAAATAGAAATACATCATGTTTTACAAAATCTACAATTAGTAGATAATTACTCATTATTTTTTTAAAGAAAATTGATATCTGAGTGTAATCTTGTAGGACAAATACATTTAGATTGAGAATGTCCAAAACATTTCTCTACGTATATTCACCAATTTGATATTCACTTTATGAAAAGAACATAAAATTAAATAACTAAATTCCAAACTTGATCTCATGAATGGACAATATAAGATATTTAAAGAAGAGAGAGAAAATTCATTTGATTTTTCCAGAATCATCAAATTAAATAACTAAATTCCAAATTTGATCTCATGAATGGACACTATAAGATATTTAAAGAAGAGAGAAAATTCATTAGATTTTTCCAGAATATAATTACATTTCATAGCCCTACATCAGGAAAGTGTGATTTCAATTTCATTTTGAAGTCAAGAAACAACAGGTAAATTTTGAAAATCTGCAACACAGTTTCGTTTATAAGAACATAGGTTTTCACGTCCGTAGTAATAATTAAAGAGAACAGGTTAGTACATCATGATCAAATGGAATCTGAATGGCCAAACGTTTCGTCTGCTACTATGGCAGATATTTCACTACGGCAATTCTTCATACTTTACTTTTTCGTGAACGTTAAAAAATGGATACCTTACCTTACCTCTCTGTATTACCTTACCTTACCTTGCATCATTATAAACTAGGGTTATGTATGATATAAATTAATTTACTCTAGAAAAATATAATTATCTAAGTCAATTAGCAACTATTTTCAAGTGAATTTAAAGAGCTTTATACGATTCAGTGTGTACATTCAAAAATAATCTGTATTCATCTAATATTTTTAAAGTATAAAACAATATAAAATTGCTGATACAGGTTGACTTTCTAAAGAGAGATATGTCATGACCCACAATTGATTACTGTAAGTGCAACTTGGACCACATAATTTGCTAGAACACCACCACCATCATTCAGTAGGATTTGAATACACACATTCCCTTTGATCAATACTTTCAATTTTTTAGATTGATACAAGTGAATTTTGAAAAAATGGTGTAAGTTTATATCATCCCAGTACTAATAAAATGGTGTAAGTTTATATCATCCCAGTACTAATAAATTTATCACTAAAACATATATTGGTAATGAATATTTCGATCAAGATAATCTCATTTGTAATTGTTTTCCAAATTTCTTGGAGTAATTTGATTTTTATAAAAGGCATTCTAGCTCACTTTAATGCGTTCTTGATTTTTCAGATAAATTTCTATTTAGAAATCTATCTAACAACCCCTTCTGACAGACTGACAATGACTTTCAACATTGGATGGCTATAGTTTATACTTAAAAATAAATGTTCTATATTTATTTTGATTCTACCCATCTGTACCAACACAAAATAGCATCTTATAAGCATGCCATCGGTTTTTTAATTTTTCAGATCAATTGCATTTTTTTAAATTCCTTTCACCCTTATTCCGTCTAACAGATCGACAATTACTTTCAACAGTGTCCTGTTATAATTTATACTGAAATGAATGCATTCCATCATAGAGCAATGTGTGCAATCGCTTTGTTGATTTTGCAAATCAATTTACATTTTAAAAGCCCCCTTAGATGGACCGAAAATGACTTTAGGCAGTAAACTATTGAAATTCATACTTCAGGAAATGCTTTCCACCCTACTGTATTGCGCGCCACCCCCTAGTTGAATTTCTTTGTTTTTTCAGATTCCAATATTCAGATTTTTGGTAGGTACAATCCTCATGCTCACATTTTGTTATGGAAAATGTGATGATGCCAAATCAAAAGCGTGGCTGAAAAAAACTATGGCTATTTTCACACCCTCTGAATCTTGTATAGACACAACTCAACAATTTTTTTTCATTTGAAAGGAAACATGTTTTTTACAGCTGCTATAAATATTTGAAATGACTTGTTTTTTTCATAAAAAAACTATCATTCGTATTTTAAAAAGTGCCAGTTGGAATGTATGTCAAGTAATTTTACCAACAACATAAAGTTGCACTATAAGCAGAAAGGAGTTAAACTTACCAACCCTAGTGGGTCATGACAAGTCACCCCCACAGCAAAAAATCAACCTGACTTTGTGAAGGCATATTATCCTCTGCCTACAAAATACCAAATATGAATCCTTTGGAAATAGATACATGTGAATAATTTCATAAACAATAATGACTGAATACTCCAAGAAGATACAAGTTGGTTGGATAATAGAATTAGGTCATGTAATGTGCATACAAAATAAATCATTGAACAGAATTCATTTTGTGTGGACGAAATCAGGGTGTTTCATCGAACTTTCTGGGAATTTTCACCTTCTACAATCTGAAAAAATAAAAATTTCAATAGGATAACTGTAGAAAAGGCAAACTTCTAGTTCACCCCTATACTATAAGTTACTGCATAAACTCAATGTGTTTTTCTCAAAAAAGAGGCGCTATTCATCGTAAACTTATTCAATTTGATAATTTTATCCATCCAAAAATAGAGCTAGGAAAATAATACAGATAAGTTGAATAAAAAAAAAAGATAATTTCTTGAATGAAAAGTTGGAATGGAATCAGTTTCAACAGGATTTCAGCCAAAGATTTTGTGAATATGGCAATGCACTAAGTAAATGTTTAGGGTAAGGGGTGGATTCATGCACCAGCTATGAAGTCATAGGATGTAATAAGTTTTAAACAGCTTCATCATTAATTTTCGGTGGAAACATCCATGCGCCAGATGCATACTTTGTCATATTTTATTGTGTGAATTGTAAGTTTTTAGTAATAACAAATCTAAAACATGAATTCTTATGAATGAAAACTTGTGATTTGCCATTCAAGACTGTGCATGAATCCACACTTATTAGTCTTTCTTACTCCTTGATTTCCCATCCATAGTAGCTCTTCATGTTTATCGAATGCTAAGGCCGACACTCCAAATCTATCTCCCCCGTCTGCTAAAATACAATGGGTTTGAACATATTCTCCTTCTAATCCCACCAGACCTGGATTTTCTTGAGGGGCCACCACCGCGAGCTGGAATATTTAATTCAAATTAATGACAAATAAAATATTACTTCTTCAGAAAAATTGAATTATCTTCAATATTAGCTCTCACCCCAGTATTGTCGAAATACATGACAAAATTTATTTTTATTTAGAGATCAAAAAACTACACATTGTACACTTGTTACTTTTTTCAAGAATGAAGGGTTTAGAACAGCTGCAAGTAGCAAACCGCCACTATCTCTGTCTGACACCGTCTTATAGAAGTTTTGCGGTAGTGGCGATCATAGAAAAAGTGGCGATTTGCGGTGTGAGGAGCGAGTAGTAAAGTAGTGAAAGTAATGACGTCCAATCTGACACTAACAGAAGTGACACTTGATGTGTCATGTCATGATATTGATATGCGTTCTCGATTAGCGTTTAGAATCATAAGTGCTTGAAGTTTGAAGTAAAAATGACATCAATTTGTAAAGCAGTTGTGTTTCTGAAAACATTGGAAATATCTCACAATATGTTTCTTTTTAGTGATTATTATCAAGCTACCTTCTAACTTAGTACTAAATGTAGGTATTGAGAAACATTAACTTATCTGTCATTTTTATGTCAACCGCTGATGATATCATTATATCAAACGAAAATCAAAAACGCCCTTATTGTTTATAGCATTTCTTTCATGCAAAGTTACAAGCATTGTGCCAATTACAATGAAGTTTTCCCAGAATAGAATGGTTCAATCGCTATTCTGAAATGTAATCTAGATTGAGCTGTCAAAATGAAAAAGGCAAGATGCCTGGTGTGATGACTTCGACCCCTTCCTCATGTGAAATGTTTTGTCAAAAAATCTTGACATATTTACCGCACTCTTGTTAAAAAAATAATAAAGCGAACCAATAAATTGCAGCTTTTCATTAACAACTCAAGTGACATAGCTTGAAAATGTCAAGTTGGCGGTTCAATTATCAATGTTGTTTATACGTATTTGGGAATAAATTAATATTAGGTGAAAGATTCTTTTTACATGATGGTTCATCATCTGTAAACATGTGGAGGTAGATGGGTTTTTTCCATGACGCCTTCCTTTTGGAAGATATATCATTCGTTCATTAACATTTTTCACTTGATCGTATCTGGGGACAAGTGACAGTTTACAGAGAAAAAAAGTATTCTCCATATTTCTTGAGTGTCTTGTCCACGAATTTTTCCCTTTTGATGTATATCATACACACTCCATAATAATCTATATCTATATGACAAAAAATGCATACACCGGGTATTAGTGAATAAGTGAAATAGAAATAAACTCCAGAGTGTGCTTCTGTATTTTGCTTCATACCTTTTATCCGCAAATACTTAGTTTTCCGAGATACAGGTTGTTGAAGTTTTACTTAAAAACTGACTATATTTATGTACTGTTCTGGAACCGGTCAAGATATGCAAATTAAGTTTGGAGAGGTAGTTATTGCGCATTTTCCGACATGCAATTAAGAATTGTATGTTCATCATTGGCGCGCATACGGGTATTGATCTCAATTTTTATAACGAAAGAAATGGTACGTTATTGAGATATTCCAAACTGACTAATAAGAAAGTTTTTCTTCCTTATTCACAGGAATCGAGAAAATTTCGGATATGCAGTTGGTTAGTTCCTCGTCCACTAGATGGAGTGACATTTTGTTGTTTGCTCCAACTTAGGAAGAGGAATGAAATACTTTGAAAGAATTCTTTTCAATTATGGAATATCATTAACTTTAAGTCGATGATGGCCACTATCTTGCACTAATGAGTGGCTAATAAGCTCGAAACCGGTCTCCAAGTGTGCCCGTTCCAAAAATGAAGGTCGACTCTTTTAATTGTATTGCCAATTGCATATGCACGTCAATTTTTGTGAAAATTCCTGCACTGACGCCTGTCGAATATAATCCAACGCCCTTGGTGGTATTAGCCAGAGGAGTAGTTGTTTTCTGATAGGCTTTAGTCCATTCAACCTACTGTGTAGGTATTCGAGGCTGGCTTGAACGTTTAAAGTTCATTTCTTTAGATTTATTCACTGCCAGTCTTCAAGCATAGCCCACTGACTAATAAGAAAGTTATTGTATTAGAAAGAAAAATATGCGTTGAGATGTTATTTTTTGCAAAAAAACGACCCCCATATGAAAAAAGGCAGGAGAGATTTTTTGTCACTAATTGAACGAAGAATTTAAAAATTATTGTTAGTTTAAAATATCCCACGTACGTATCTGACGTACCATTTTTTCTTTAAAAAAAATAGATATCATTACCCGAACCCCCCCCACTGATAAACAAAATTCTCAATTTCATGTCAGAAAATGTGCAATAACTACCTCTTGAAGCCCAGCAAATTTCATTTGCGTATCTCGACCGTAGTTAGTTTTTAAGAAAACTTTAACATCTGGTATCTATTTACTATTGATTACAGTTTTCGTGTCCCCACCTCTGAAAAACCAACCCCTCTGAAATCTTCAATGGCACTATTCCACTTCAGATACACCGAATATAGAAAAAAGGTACACATTGAATAAATCACACCACGATATCTGACTTGGTTCACGATTGAGTCTCTTTATTTTTTGAATTTATGTTTTCTTGTGAAAAACAATTCACCGAAATTTGAAGCACAATGAAAGGGTACGGCTCTGAGCGATATATTAATTTGGTCAGTACTTAAATACAACAATCTTGAAAATTTACAGTGTATGTGAAGAGTTTCCAATAATTTTTATCGAATAACAATTTTACTGCGATTTCCAAAAAGATCATAGGTAATTTACATTCAAGATAAATTAAAAAATTTCAGGACTATCGAATCAATCCATACAACTGAAATATAAAGAAGTATTGTCAAGGGCTCTTGACTACGTCTGCAGGAGAGCAAAAAATTAATTGGCACGGTACTACTGAATATCATTTGAATATTTTTCATTAACAGTGTCATTTCCAACATGAAAGCAAGTTTTTTCACAGTAAATAGAATTTTCTCGCCTTTTCATAATTTTCAGCTGTACTTACTGTACTTACTTACTTATGAGATCACTATAAAAATAGCCTGAAGTGCAGATAATATCGGAATTCATATGAATATCACAACATGAATTCATTATCAGAATGCAAATTCAAAATTCATGTAAAGTAAAAAAAATATTGAATTTTGCCACAGTTCTTGTGATTGCGATTTCAATATGTGAATTGACATAGTGGCCCGGTGAAAACACAAAAAGGGTGTACTTACAATACGATTCACAACATAACCGATTGACTGTGATTTTTCATTGTAATATTGCTTCTTAAATAGAATCTCACAAAACATATTTGTTCTTTTACCTTCATGTATCGAGGATTCTCCGGGGTAACATGGAATCTTACAAAATTGATATCAACGTTCTTGTAAAAATCTGGAATTATACATTATATAACTCATATATGAAGCTGGCGTCGATTTTTTGCAAAAACACATTTTTCCATAAAACTCGATCAACATATTTTGTTGAACTCGTCGAATGCTACTCAAAACTCCCATCTGAACGGTTCTGAGATTCCTTTCTGTCGTCATTCCAAATGTTGGTTTTTCAAATTTCGTAGGTACCGTACGACAGCCAATTTGAAAAGTTTCGTTTATTCGATAAAACTCCATTGGCAAATCTTGTCGAACTCGCCGAGTGCTACTCAGAACTCCTAGCAGAACTGCTCTGAGATTCGTTTCTGTTATCATTAGAAATGTTGGTTTATCGAATTTTGCACCTTATGATGGCCAATAAATTGAAAAGGTTTGATTTTTCGATTAAACTCCATGTACATATTTTGAAGAACTCGCCGATTGTTACTCAGAACTTCCATCAGAACTTTTCTGAGAAACCTTTCTGCCGCCATTCGAAATGTTGGTTTTTCGAATTTCGCACCTTATGATGGCCAATAAATCGAAGTTTCGATTTTTGTTATAAAAGTCGATTGACATATTGTATAGAACTTGCCAAGTGCTACTCAGAACTCTCATCAGAACTGAAATATCTCTTGATTTTTTTCCAAAATGATGATTTTTGTAAGTCAAAAATTTATTTTCTTTCTCAATAACTTTTTTTATTTCGGCAGAGCTATATTCAAAAATGGTCAAGAACTCCAGAACTATTCCATCTTCATCGAAAAATACCACCAGAACTTGGTTTTTCGAAAAAGTTGGCACCGTATGAAGTAAGCGCCACTAATTTTTTTTCTTATTGAAATACACAATTTCCTGAAACTATTCAAAATTTATATCTGGAACTCCAGAACTCTATCAAATCTGCCCAGAGTTCCAAAAAATGTGTTTTTGCACAAAGTCGGCGCCAGCTTCATATGAGTCATTTATATTGGTAACATGGGTTCCAAGACTTTTATTTTTCCAAGACCGTCCTGGAACTATACAAACGTCATAATATTCCGTATTTCTCCTTAACTAGTCAGTCAAGACTACCCTTCGCTTTTTATATTGAACATATAAATTGACGAAGAAAGTTAAACATGTATGAATTACTTTATTGACAAAGTAATATTATTTTATTAAACTCAAATATGTAATACCTAGGCTTTTGAAGATTAGACACAATATTACTATCTCAATGATTTATTGACATCAAATTACAATGTGACGATTTTTCTTGGGGCTCCATCCAATGAATTTGCCACGGGCCTCATACAAAAGCTTCATGAAGTAAAATAATATTTTGACGTTGAAAATATTCATGTAAAATATTGGATGCCAAATCAGTGATTTTCATGAATCAACAATTCATTAGTTGTGTGGTGTAAATCCAACACGAGAGTGAGGGGCGGGTGCTAGATTTGGAAGCTGGCGACCGATGCTAACTTCATGCAAGTGAAATTATCAATCAATGTATGGTATTCACATGTATTGTTCAAAATGTGAAGTTTTGAAAATCACAACATACCAAAAAAGGTTAATTGGAAAACACTATTCAGAAGAAAAAAAATATGAAAATGAAATACTTTTTAACAACTAAAGTAATTATGAACTTGATAGAACTAAGGAGTCATATTCATTTTTTACTTTATGTATTATCATGTGTTAGATGTGTAATAATTTAGTTAATCAAATATTGGAAAAGATGGACGAGATTTATATTCCGTTTGAGTTGATATGCATATAAATAATGATAATTCACCCCAAATCGTAATCAAATCATATTCTAGTAACTTTTAGGAAAATACTCGATATCTGTAATCCAACTACACTATGATGTTTTTTCATTATATTGATTTATTTTCATTTATTATAATTTTTTTTGTAATGTAAATGTTTTCTCTATCATATCTGAAATCTTGTCCCATTCCAGACAGCCCTCTGAGTGAAGTTTGAATATAGACTCACACTGAAGGATCTCTAAGCCAATCAAGTGCATTTTGAGCATAGTTACTATCATAATTTTGTGAAAATAATCCTTATTATGAGAAATATTTATTATACCATCATTGTCAAATAAGTATATCATTGAATATATTACTGAAATGTTTTTGAAACATGTAAAATTTCTATGCAACTTATGACCAAAGAATAAAGGGTGAAATTCAATTTTTGTGATCATTACTGCCACAAGGTTTGTTCTTTCACTGAACCTTGATAAATACTCTACATAATATGTATATGAATTATATGGATTTATTATATCACTTATTGAGGAACAAAAACGTTTCAAATTTGATATTCCAGTTACCTACATTCCTTTATACTTAGTTCTGAATGTCTCTGGTTATGTAAGAGTGGTAAATTTGGTAACTGAATGTCCGTCTGAATGATTCCTGGCTAACTTGACAAATTGAGGAGAATCGAGACGTAGGTACATAGCATTTAACCAAATTCCAGTTTTCATAATTAAGATCACTTCTTTGAGCCATAACACCTTCGGTATAGAAACAAACAGGAATGGTTATTGACGTTTTATTATGTAAATTTCGCACGAGTCACAAAAACAAACAATTTTCAACTCATTTCAATAAATATTACCAGTCCAAATAGAACAGCTAGACACTATCTAACTATAAATTTAAAGAATACAAAACAATATTTCCATGAATATGATACATATTGGAAGGCAAGGTTATCCTCTATCCTGACTTGCTCTTGAGAACCATTATGAAATTGGGAAAGTATATTTATTTTTCTGACGACCATTGCTCCATTAGTTTCCTAGATTAATTCAAGAAAAAAATAGTATTTAGCAATGAGAAAATCAATAACTTTTACACCGTCATAGTGGTTTATATGAACAACTGCACGGAAAGTTGAATGAAATTGCAGAATATGTAATATTTTTGAAAAATTACCACTTCAATGTGCCAAAGTTGCCTATTGAAATGGCATTTTTTTTCAAGTCACATACAGACCATATCACATACTATCACTGATAAGTTAACTGTTTTAAAATTAAATCTGCAACTAACCTGAATTTTTATTATTATTATTATTCCAGTATAGACTTCAACTTAATATTTCTCACACAAAAATTTCACAATAAATTCGATTTGAATTTCCTCTATAAATTCCTAAATCCACTCTCTCAGATATTTATCTTACTCATAGTCACAGTAAATGTACCGAGCTTTAACAATAATGTCATTTACAACTTTATCAAAAACATTCCTTAAATAAATGCTTTATATTTCCTTGAAGAATACTCCTATCCTGAAAATTCGCTAATTCTAGAATATTTGTAATTGTACTGCAAATTTATAAAGATGAAAATGATGCCCTAGAATTCTGTAACTTTTTTGTTTGAGGCAACATCATAGTTTCGTAAGTCAGCAGAAAATGTGCATAAAAGTAAAAATCAAACAGTAAAATGTTCCTCAAAAAGTTACTGAATAATGTAGACATCTGAAGAAATAGTTCAATTATAGTATAAAAATTGGATAAGATTTTCGATTGGGAAACAAGTATTTTTTCTATGTCACCTACTCTTTATATTAGTCATTAGTGTCAGTTCTCATCTGCATGAATGATGTTTCTATTGTATATTATTGAGTACTATTTGTTGTTCATTTTATCGTCCATATCAATTATGATTTTGTTTGCAGCACATGTATATTTTCTGACTTGGCTACTCTGTGTATTCATCATTACTGTCATTTGTCACATATAGTTGAGGTTTATATGGTCCATTTTCAACTTTTATTTGCTGTTTTCATTGTTCAATTTTCCATTATTAATTCTCGATTTTTAGTGAACAATAACATGAAAACTGACACTAAATAACGAACCATCAGAGTAGCCAATACAGAAAAGCTACATGTACTCCAAATGAAATCCTCATCCAATGTATTTTCAAAGTATTTCATTCAGAAGTTTTTATTAAGCAATAACCTTCAGAATAACATTTTTAGTTTGCCTTTCATCATTTATACCTAGAATTGGTTCTGATTTGGATCAGAAATATATTACTCTGATTGTCTCTGACAGATCAAATCTCAAGTCAAACAGAATTTCGAATGTTAAAAATATGAGTCAAAAAAATGAAATAAAATGAGTCACAAAACATTCATAACAACAAGATATTATTACCTGTACATTGCAGGTTGAATTCAAATATAATAGTCAAGGCAGTAATTGGAAATATCTTGTCTCAAATTTCATTTTGGCAATAAATTTTGATATTTATGTAGTTCATCAATATTTGATTTTTTTCAACTATTTGATGATAATAATAAAGTGAATAGAAGATGTTTGCTTTGTCCTCCAGCTGATTATTTGCATTTCATAACCGAGGCCTGTTACTACATTACAAATAATTTTATAGTTCTGAAGCATTTTTAGGATAGAAGACCTTGCAAATGCTAATTATGACACTAAACATCTACTGGCAGTATGAATGAAAAACATGTTGTTTATCGCGTGATCTTAATTACTAAGTTGGTTTTCACAGTCAAAAGCAAACTTGTCTTAGATATAACCAAATCTAGTGAAACGAAATGAAAAAAGAAATTGCATATTATTCTGATTGAGTCGAGTCAACAACTAATTTTGTCTCAGGAACCATATGCTTATGGTGTACAAAAATAGGATTTGAGAAATATTTTTAGAGTAATCACTCTACATAATTCTAATCAATGTTGAGTACGAATTCACTTATAATATGCAATTTTAATTGAGAAAATCATATCACAAAAGAACTATCACAAATCATACAATTACCAAAAATAACCATTCAATAAGTTGAACAAGAAACACCAATACTTAATATCTTGAATATTGTGTTACAAAAATGTTTTATCATATTTTGCTAGACATAATGATAGTTAAATAGGTCAATATATCACTGACATAAATATAAAAATACATGTTGATTGATATATGGTTATAAGTATGAAGTTACTGTAAGATGATTGACAATAATTCCGCAACATTTCAAAAGTCAGAAAAAATATATGACTTCAACAATTTCTTGAAAAATGAAATGAAAACCAATAGTTCCAGTTTTAGCTGTCAGAAAGACTTTAACAAACATATATCTTTATTCAATTTGAAATTTTTCAACTGAATTGTCCATTTATTTGAAAGGAACATTTTTTTTTCGATTGCTATGACCATTTCTTTATGTTGTGATATATATTATATTACAAAATATAATTGTGAAAGCTGACCCACATGCAAAAAACATTATTTTGTTCAAAATTGGTTTCAGTTTCATTAAACATCAATTGTCCATATTTCAAAATGCATTTTGAATATGTTTCACATCTGCATGTGAGTATTATCACAATTCAAAAAAGTGTCACTGTGAGCATTTTCCAAAACTAGTATCAAGTAACAGATTTTCTATTCAGTCTCTCTCACGCTATTACGTCAAAATAAAAAAATTGAAAATTCACAAGATTACTTCTATTTGAAGTTAAGAATAGAAATATTATCGAATAAAATCATGTAGGTAGTCACATTCTACTAAAAGTTCTGAAAAATCTCATCATAAAACTGACAAGACATTCCTAACTTATAATGTTAAATAAAATTTTCTACAAGAAATATTATACTCCTCCTCCTAGTGAAAAGGGGTCTGAATAGATGAAAAGTTAGACACATACAAAGGTTCGGTGAGATCGTTTCTAGGAGAAAGATACTAGAACAGTATTAAAAAATTATCCATAAGCCTGCTTACTTTTACTATTTCTACTATTGCATGATAAAACCTAAAATTAAAAAATGACTCTTAACTTGAAAACCAGTGTTACAAATAATGTAAATAAATATGTGATTAAACACACCATCAGTCCCTTTTTAACTAACACAGCAATAACGCTTTGCCATGGTCTAATAAGTCTCTAATTTGACAAGTACTCCTTAAAGCACCAGCGTATCCAATTTGTAAACGCTTTGATTCCAGGGTTATTTAACACAGACATAGTTTATCGTTTCTAACACAGAATGCTTTGTGAAGAGCTTCAATTTTTAAGGTAGTATGTAAGACGATTGCACATTGTTCCCTAATGTGTATTAGAGGGTGAAGAAAAGGTGCCTTACTATCAAGCTTTAACAACGATCAATAGAAATTCACAACATCCAATGCTTCTCGCCACTTTTCAGGACTCTAATGAAAATTTGTGTTATGTCACAAGATGGTTTCGTTTCGGGCATAACTACGGTCCTTTCACGTAACTGTTTAGGTCCAGTCCAAAAAACAGAAATTATTATTGAACATGAGTCTATGACATGTATTTTTACTTTTGAATGCCTTTGTGAACATTGTGAATCAGCTTCGGTTGCACACTATTCAATAAGGTCAATCCCAACCATTTTCCTTGATCATATGGGCTAGCTCTATAATGAATTTGCCTTCCTTGTATTTCTGACTTGACTCGAAGGCATGTTCCTGAAAGAAATAAATATAATATCAGTGTACAGTTGCAGTTCAATTTTATCATAATTACTCTGTAATTCACAAATAATCAAAATCATTAAAATAGGTATTCAAAATTGCCTTTTGCAATGACTTGTTAAGTAATAATAATAATAATAATAATTTAATAGGTCTTTATTCCCAGAATGGTACAATAAATAAATGTGAACATTTACTGAAACGGGAAAGGTTGAAGATCAGTTGGTTGCATCGAAAGATGCAACCTCTGTTTTTCATCTTAGGCCAAAGTCTTTGCCAGACTTGTGCAAAACAAAGAAAAAGGGTTTGAAGTATGGGTTTTATTTTTTTAAATTTTTGCTTATTTTTATTGTTCATTATTTTTTATTTCTTTTTACTCTGTGGTCATTTTCATCTGTTAGCTTGATTATTTTAATTTATTCATTTTATTGTATTTTCATTTCACGTTTTATTGTTTATATTGAAAGGCGTATATTTGCAAAGAAGTAACTGAAAGTTACTTTTTTGCATGATCTACACATCTATGTATAGAGTTACTACTTTCACAATTGATTGCTTCCTGCCTTTCTTTGGAAGATTCCCACATTTTTTTGTATCTTGATGGAGTAGTAGAAAGTCAAAAACTTTCTTTCCCAAATGTTTTATTGCTTACCTATATATAATTGATATTTCAGCTATTCACTGTAATTTTATTTGTTCTTTCATATATTTCGAATCATATTAGGATAGTATTTAGACAATGGAAGTCCGTAAAGTAAAACTCAATCCTCTTCATTGTATGAAGGCTTTGTTATATCTTGTAATATCTTGTTGTTGATCAAAACATGCTTTACTATTTTCAACTTGCTGGTTTCTTCGTGACCAGCGTTTTTTGTAGTCAATCTTGATTAAAAAGAAAATGGAAAAAAATATTTTTGAAGTGGATGTTATATGTATTTGATGGCTCAACTGTCTGTGTCTGTTCCCAGACAATACACATACATGTATTGTATATCCAACGGACGTCCAACTTATGTCCAAAGAATATTTTATGGACGTCTGCAAAAATAACCTGTAAGTCCATGATATATTGTACGTATTTTGGAAATCTGAGGAGTAGGACCTACCTAAGGATATCCATTCTAACCCCACTAAGGAATATCTTATGGACATGGACATCCACTAAGTGTCTAAGAATATTCTCACCCGATTTGGACATGAATTGCATTATCGTAGGATTGTTGCTAATTGTATTCTTGAATCTGAAGCCAATTCTCACGTTAAAAAAATCGAAATGTATTTATGGATTTATATATGGTTGTATACAAGTAAACTTCATTGTGAGATTCTCACTGAATAGTTTACAAAACCGTAACACTTGTTGTGCTATACAATAGCTTCCTCAGACGTGTTAATGCTCGCTTGAGGAAGCTCTTCATGTCACATTGAAGTCTTACTTGAATATTTTATGAACCTTCATCACGTATCGGCCAACTAAATCACATTAAGCTGGTCTTGATTTTTTCGAAAGAATTGCCAAATTTGGAAAACTATTAAAATCATCCGTTTTTGTTGAAATTTATAATAAATACCTCAATAAATTGATGGATGTAGCCGTTACTACGTGGTAGGAAATCATCATGAAAAATGAGAATTGAAACTTTCTATGAATATCTCAGTTGGAAAATATATAATGACAAATTTTGTTCAGTAATAAGTATATTTTATTAAAATAGAAATATATGTATAGATGTTGAAAATAACGCGAAACATCAGATGTCTTGCAGTGAGGATGACTGTGTTCCATGTAAGTGAAATTTTATTTCTTTCATTGATTATATTACGAATATTTGGAATACAAATATAAAAGTAGTTGTTTTGAAAGTATTTTTCTTTTGTGTAATTACACAGCTATTTTCATACAAACATTGTATTTGTTTATATGAAAATAGCTGCTTCGAGAAGGCTTTTTCTTCCAGTTTGTGTATGAAATTTACCCGGGGTATGTGGTGGATCTCGACAAAATGAACAACTTTTTCCTGAACAATGTTTATCTAAAAATCATTTGTTTTCGAGATACAAATTGTTGAATTTTTCAAAACATGGTTGGTTTTTGTCATAACTTTTTTGCAATTTCAGTTATTTTCTTCAAACATTTTATAAAAAAAAGTTGTAGGAGCTAAGTAATATGCATCGATATAGAAAATTGTAAATATCTCGAAATCGATCACCTCCAGCGTTGTTAAAAAGTGTGCATTTTTTACTTGGAAGAGGTGTGGGAATTAGGAAAAGTACCAAAAATTTACTGTCAAAAAAGTTGGAGCAATTTGAAATAAATAATGACAGCGTACGCAGCGCCCTCTAGATGTTACATGAAAATTAATACAAACTTATGATTTCCCACGTCAAAAAAACCCGAGTACCAAATTTCGTGCGAATAACTTATTTTTTGCAAATTATTTTTAAAAAACGAACAAAAAAGTCAATTTCAACACCCTGTATCTCCTTAACGAAGCATTTCCGGACACAAGTTTAAAAAAAACTGTTTAAAATCTGTTTTTTCGTTAATCAGCTATCGCCCCCATACGAACGATAACTCTCAGAAGTTAAGAAACTTGTGCGAGCTAAGGACTAACGAGATCTTACCTTTCAACGTGTAATTCTTAACACGGTTGCAGAATCATCTCAGCTTCAACCAGATGAATTTTCTCGAGAAAAATATCTGGTCGAGACGGGAATCGAACCCACGGCCTTCCAATCGTGAGTCGGGCGCACTACCACCGCGGCCAATTCCACAACAAGTCAATATAGACTTTTTTTACAATTGTCTCAGGAATACGTCTTTTGAATATTTTAACGTACTTATGTTACACCCTGTATAAGGTGTTAGGCAGCGTCATAATTTTGTTGTAAGCAGCACCGTAAAATAAAAAACCTGAAAACATGCAGATTCGGTAATTTCATACTAGTTTTTATCTGCGGTAGTTGAACTTCACGAAGATTTCAAAAGAATCGTTTTCTGTATCAACAAGTCCCTTAAAACCACTTTGTAAAAAATAATTTCTGGTATGACGCCCTTTGTTGATTTTTACCACTTCATTGAATTTACAGTTTTGATCTGGTTTCAAACGTTTCCTCCCATCTAGGTTGTAAAAAACGCCTTTACACTGCATTCAACCAAACGATTTCACTCTTTCCTGTTATGAGGAGTTATTTATATACTCACAGGCACAAATACCCGCCCGCCTTGTATTTCATGAGAGGGTATGTTGTAAACTACCCGTAAGGTAAAAAACAACAAAAATGTTCAATAAAAGTAGTTTCTTAACAGATTCTTTACAAAAATTTAATTAATGAGAATTTTCGATGAAAATTTGACAAACTTAATTGTGATAAAAGTGGGGTTTCTTAAAAAAAAAATTAAATTAATAATGGGTGTTGCCGCCAATAACCCTTATGACTTCTTAGAGTCGGTTTGGTAACCCATTCACGATATTCTGAATTTCCAATTGCCGTCTCGAGTTCTCCCAGGGGCATAGGGGGTAGTACCCTACCTTTAACACATCTTTTGATGTTGTCCCAAATGTGCTCTATCGGGTTGAGATCGGGACTGCGTGCCGGCCATAATAAAACTTGAATACTGACCTCATTAAGGTACTCGGTGACGGATCTTGCGGTATGGCACCGTGCATTGTCCTGTATTAATCGAAATTTGTTACCAATGAACGGTACAAAAGGTATGACGTATCTTTGAGCATTCACATCGCCTCTATCAAACACGACAAGATCAGTACAAGCATCGTAACCATTAAGGAACCTACCTGGTAGCCAGCTGTTTCGGTTATAGCGCACGGAGCAAACCATTTATTTTGGCGCCTGTAGACACGCTGACGTCCATCTGGACCTCTTAAGGCTACTCTGCTCTCATCTGAGAACAATAGGTCCTTCCATTCCTCCACTGTCCACTCAGCATATTCTCGTGCAAAAGTAAGTCTAGTTCTACTGTGTTGTGGGAACAGTTGTGGGACACGAGCTGGACAGAAAGCCCTTAGACTTCTTTCTGACAGTCTTCTTCTAACGGTACGCTCACTTACACGGACATTTCTCACCTTAAAAAGACCTGTACGCACTTCTGTAGTGGTGCTGAAGCGAGTTTTTACACGTTGCTGACGACGAAGCGGTCATCTCGAGTAGAAGTGCATCAATGTTTCTAACGGTACGCTCACTTACACGGACATTTCTCACCTCAAAAAGACCTGTACGCACTTCTGTAGTGGTGCTGAAGCGATTTTTTACACGTTGCTGACGACGAAGCGGTCATCTCGAGTAGAAGTGCATCAATGTCGGCCTTGACTTGATCTGTGGTGTATGAACCTGTCTCCCGAAATCGTCTGATCTCATCCCGTAGCGTAGTTCGAGGTAGAACGAGAGTCTGTAAAGTTGGCTGTACCCAGCATCAGCCAACGCCACTGCTCTGGCTACATCAGTTGCATCAAGTAGCATTTTTTACAGTCACAAACAATAAGGGAACTCAAATTAAACAATACTTGCACCCTTTAGCAAAACAGAACAGGACAGAACAGAATTGTACCATCTTGCGGAATATAACCAACTTTTTTGGGTATACATTTACCTTACTCAAACCCATTTCTTAGACCCACTCTCTCCTAAGATCATTATAAACAGTAGTTCGTACCGTTTTTTGTCCAAACCCTAAATATTATAAGGATGAATATTCATCTCTATTTCTATACTTTTAAATTTATATTATTTCTATTGCAATTTTTATATATTAGAGTTTTCTTACATATTTCCATCCAAGGGTGGTTTTACAGCATTCACAATAAATGTCCGCAACAGCGTGTAGGCCAGTAAGGAGGACTCTTTCTTCAGCAGGTCCACATCCAACATTCACTCTGGAAAATAGATTTCAACAGAAGTTAGTTGAGAATTATTTCGTTCATTAGAATAATAATAATCCGATATGGAAAAATATGTTTTGATGGTTACACATAATGGAAAAGCAATAAGAAAAATTAGTTCCAAATGGAAATATTCACCACGCAATGAGTATTATTTAAAGACAATTTTGACAACATCGGTTCCAAACAAAACAGACTTTTCAATCTGTAATGGATAGCATATCGGTGAGTACTTTTACATGTGAGAAAAACAATGATAAATTGAAAACATTTCATTACACCAGCACAAAAACATTGTATCTTGACGAATAATCTGATAAACTAAGTTAGCATCATATCAGGAGATGAGAATTTCATTTAGGATTTACATATAAACTACACAAATTATAGCTTAGGACCACCACTTTCTTGGGAGCTCCCAAAATAATTGTTAGTAACTGCCATATATACTTAAATATACTGCATACCATCAGCATGAACGAATAAACGAAAGAAAAATATTTATAAAGATACTTATTGAACGAATAAAGTGGTTTCCAACAAATAATTGAAATTAAGATTGCCAATTCTGTTGATATCATTATTATGTATGCGAATGTTCGTTTCAAAAGAATTTTCGTTTTTTATCAGAGGTTGCATTTTTAAGTTTGATATGAATAAACATGATTTTGAGTTAAATAATTGTCATTTTACTATCCGTATATTTCTTAGTTGTATTTCAGTTCAACCTGGGAATCATATTTGGCACTGACAGGGATTATTTGGACTTATGAAGGCCTCATATATCGAATAGCTTAGGATATTATCAAGTCTAAATCTGGCATTGGATACTCCTGTACTAACAATAGTATATTATTTTCAAGTCAAACTCATTCACGAAAGATATGAATCAAAATTCCTGGGTGACATTTTCACATTTTTAGGCTACGAACACTAGAAGGGTGCTATTACTTAGTTGCACTAACTTGTTGTTCCATCTATTCTCTGTTGATTTACTAGAGATTACTTTGGGATCAAAGATTCCTGGTTCATAGCGTTTTTCAAATGTTAAATTTAATTCAAAACTGTTTCGTATCTTTGGCCATCTCGGTCACCAGATTCAAATCTAATGGGTTTCCTTCTCTGGGAACACCTGACGAACATAGTTCACTCCCAGTATACCACCAAGAAAGATACAATCAAACGAGTTAGAGAGGTCACAGTTTTGTTGGCAAATTCCTTTACAGAAGCTCCCAACAAAGATGTTTTGAGGAAAGTAAGTGAATATTTTGAAGTGAATGATTCATTTTTCATTTCAATGGATTTATTTGAAATTCAAATTGACTTTCCTTTGTAATAAATATCAATCCAAAATGAACATAGGTTTTATTTCAATGGATATTTGAAAAAAATCTATAACACGTTTATTCTACATTTTTTATGTAATTCAATAGTGTAATGTATGAAGACAGATGGCGGATGAATTGAATCAACTACGACACTTCAAGGAGGGGCCATTAGGTTCAGTGTCACCAGGGGCTGTCTTCAAGCTGGGGTACTACCTCCCCTTCTGTGGTCGCTCTTGATGGATAGTGTGCTTGATGCCCTCGATAGAAGAAAAGTTGATCTGCAAGCTTATGCAGATTACCTTGTCATCCTGGCAAGGTCCACGTCGGGAAAAGTAGCTTGTAATATCCTCAAATGCACGCTGGACGATGTTAACAGTTGGTGCCTGAGGAAGCAGATGTCTGTCAACTCCAGCAAAATTGTGTTAATCCCCTTCACCGGGAGGAGAAAATTGGACGATCTAACGCCACTTTTCCTCAATGGTGAGTTCATTTCATTTGGAACGGAGGTGAAATATTTCGGCATTGTCCTCGATAAAATACTCACATGAAACGCTCACTTGGAAAAAGTGACCTCCTCTCTATATTCTTCTGGAGAGAGAGGCTGGATGGACTGCATATAGACTTGTGCACATTACCAATTGCACAAATTGATTTAATGCAGAGTGCAAAGACTGTTGGTTGACACTGGAAGTCATAGCATTTTGGAAATGACCTCTGACTTTATGCCTCGAACTGTCAACTACGAACTGCCTTATAAAGTACTATTCTCGATTAGAGAGGACTGGATCCTCCGGGAGAAGGAAATATTAAGAGTAGATAGCTGTTGGTTCACAGATGGATCAAAAACACCTTCCGGTTCTGGTGCAGGTGTTTTCAGTAGCAGACTTATGACAGAAATATCTGTGACTGTATTTCAAGCGGAAATTTACGGTATTGAATTGTGTGCGGAGAGATTGGATAAATCCAACCTCATACACAAGTCAATAAAATTATTTTCGAACAGTCAAGCGGCGTTGGAAGCAACGCAACGTCTAAATTGGTAGCAACTTGCCAAAAACGACTCTCCTCGATAGGAAGACTTAACAGATTGTCTCTAGTCTGGATTCCTGGCCATACTGGCCTAGAAGGCAATGAAGCTGCTGACTCCTTTGCAAAGGAGGGTGCTGCAAGCAGCTTCATCGGACCAGAACCTGTCATTGGCATCGCTTTAGGCTTTGCCAAAAAAACATTGAATACCTGGATGGCAAGAAGATTTAAGGACTTGCAGAATCTTTCATGATTGGCTCAGTCCAAGGCGTTTATTCACCCTTCGAAGCTTGATACCAAACAATTGTTGGACTACATTAGGGATGAACTACGATGTCTAACAGGCCTTCTTACAGGTCACTGTTATTTGAATCATAATATGCAGAGATTCGGACTGTCAGAAGATAGTGTGTGTCGCCTATGTTTGGAAAATGATGAAACAGCAGAGCATATACTTTGTGCCTGCCCCGCTGGGGACCGAATCAGGTTTTTAGAATTTGGCAGAGCCGTGCTCTTACTATCTGACCTGAAAGACCACTCACTATACAAACTACTATACAAACTAATCAGCTTCGTTAAAAAGCTGGGTGTATTTGGTCGAGTGTGAATAGGTGTGAGCCACAATAAACCCTTGCGGGTTGCGGTGGATGGTCGAATAGACCCACTCACTTTAGATCTAACGTAACATAACCACATCAACTCACTCAAACGACTGTTACACAACAACTGCGCGTCCAAAATGGCTGAAACAATAGACGAACAACGAAATTCACTAGATTTCAGTTAGGAGTGCTGCTGTCATTATGTTGAGGTCGGCAACTTTTCAGACACCCTCGTAATCCTTGAAATTGCTTTTTTGTAGATGAATAAATGTTTCTTACTCTCTTTCTTGGGTTCATAACTTTCCATAAACTGAGATAGCTTTTTATTGAGGGTTACAATGTGATCGGCGAATTTGAGTTTATTGTCAATTATTACCCCCAAAAATTTAGTACTATGTCTGTATTAAATTAACCTATCCGCGTCCTGTGTTGGTAAAGGAATGATGTCAATAAAGCAGCGGAATGATATTATATTTGTTTTGGAAATATTGAAAGACAGCAGATTAGAGTCGCATCACTTTTTGATTTTTTTTTATATCTGCACTTATAATCTCGTGGAGATTACATAAAGTTTTATCACGCCATAATATTGTGGTGTCATCAACGAATATAGTAAATTTTCCTTCTATATCGATAGATGCTAAATCGTTTATGTATAGCAGGAAAAGTATCGGTCCCAGTATTGAACCTTGTGGTGCGCCATTTTTATTTCGCCTTCTGATGAGGATGATGAGGTGTTCACAATCTGACTTCTTCCTGTGAGAAAATTCTCGAACCACTTATGAGTAATTCCACGGATGCCATAGTGATATAGTTTTTTTATAGTTTTTTTAGCAGTGTGATCTACACAGTCAAAGCTTTTAGCAAAGTCACAGAACACTGCTGCAGATGACTCTTTTTTATTAATATTTCCATAAACGGCATATAACAAAAAGAAAAGATAGCATCATGGGTGTTTTTTTTTGATTGGAAGCCGAACTGGTTATTGCTCATGACACTATCATTACTTAAAAAAATTGTCAATCCTAATTTAACCAGTTTCTCTATTAGCTTGCCTAGAGTGGGAATGAGACATATAGGACGGAAGTTTGAAGGATCACTGAGATCACCACCTTTGTGCAACGGGATAACTATTGATTTTTTTAGGTAGGAAGGGAATGTTGCGGTCTTGAATGATGAGTACGAACGCTAGAGCATTTAATGTGGTATCAGGAACTTAATGTCATTTTATCAAGATGAAGAAAACTTTCAGATAATTTGAAGAAATGAGAAACTTCATAAGTTGCTAATCTTTATGGTTCTAGAAATTTTCTATTTTTCAGCTGAATTGCAGAGTTGTAGAACCAGTAATAATTTTTTTTAATTGAAATATGGTAATTTCTCCAATTTCTGAATGCAAGTTAATGAGTTCCTGTACTGAACAATTCAATATTACAAGGCATACAATTATAATTTAATGAAATTTCGAATTCGAAGACCAAATTTTACGAAAATTACGAGATTGAAGCGAAATTTGAAACAAAACTATCACTCTAAAATTTCGACTTACCTTGGCATATTGTTGAATTCCGACTTGAACTCCGAATTTTTATCATATTACGACTCATTTTTCTTTATAAGAATATTTTTGGCCTTTCTACATCTTAGTACAATATCATTTATTGTTTATTAGGTGATGAGAATAAAATCATATGGTCAAATGAATTTCTTACTGCGATTAAAAAATACCGTTATTTCAGACATGGATATAAAAGATGAAAATTTGGACTCTGGAAGAATGAAAGAAGTGGAAGCTAAATAGAAACATACTTACACGGAATTAAATAAATATGCTCGACCTTGACTGCCCTGGAATGACTGGAAAAGAAAAAAATTATCAGAACTCATTGTCACATTTTATTCATTTAACAAATCGTACTTCATGAATGACCCACAAATATATATTACTAAAGAAAATAAGTAAATAAAAATTTCGAAATAAAATCTCAAAATATTCCACTCATATGAGAGTATACAACAGGGTAACAGTACGCAACTTTCAATGGAGTGAGGTGGAATGAATTTTCACTAGTTTTTCAGATTCTTTCCTAAATCAAGATCTCAGAGCCGCCCGACCTAGGTTATTTAAAAAAGCTAATATTTTGAAAATGAATAATGCAATATGTAATCAAGAATGTATGTATACTTGAAAAGGAGATTGTTTTACAAATATACTCGTACTGAAATTTATTTTCAATTTCTCTCATGAGAACAAATTTTAATATCTTAATGTGCGACAGTACCGATCGTTTAAAAGAAAATTTGACTGTTTGCGTTTATACGACAAAGAAGAAGTTATGAACTCACCACTGTTCTACTTCTTTTCATGAAATGTCAATAATTAATATTCTTCCGCAGTAAACGCAAATACCACTGATGATGTATATCGCAGTAGTAGACGAAACGTTTGATACCACCACAACCTAATAACTCAGATTTTGTACTTTTTAAACGTGACTCCGGTCGTGAAAGCCTATGTTCGTATATTTGCACTCACATTCTACGTCTCTTCTGAAAATCGCTGATTTTTTAATTATTATTACTATACTTTCTTAGATACTTACAAATAAATATGAAATTCCTATTTCTCAAACGAATTTCTGAATAGTTTCACTAATGTATCCGGCTCGAAGGACCACAACATATTTACCCATGATAATAATTATAAAATTTTTACAATAAATTTCATTTGAGAAGCGTTTCAGTACATGGTAGCTTCAACAGTTAGACCGGTACATTGATGAAGCTAACGTGTAGGAGTAATATTGAATTATAATTGATTTTTCAAAGTCTAACTGTTTTACCAGAATTGATCATTTATCTAATTAAGTTTTATAATTATCTACTGTTTTCTTCTTTTTCATAGCTGTTTATTTTTTGTGTTATTTTCGTGTTTGGCTTATATGTGATGTTGATATTCAATGGCTTGAAGGTTTTGTTAGTTTTTTGGTTTGGTGTCCTACGTACGTAAATACTGCCTGCCAATCGTTGTGTTGTTTTGTCTGTTGGGGTGGCTTGATCCCTGTTCTGTATTTTTTTTACAAGTTGAAAGGACACACAACAGGATGACATGTACAAAGGATGACAGCACGACCAGCTGTCGAAAGCGCTCGCAAATAATTGAATAGAAGTTATAGAGCTTCAAATCCTTTTTGTAACTTACATTAATAGTAAAATACTGAAAATAACCCATTGTAAAATGTTCGTCCAAAAACTGTCTCACCCGAACATCAAAATGTGGGGGTGCACCATCCTGCTAGAATGCTATTTCATTTTCTACAGCGTAAAACAGATGAATGGTTATAGGAATTGTCATTATCTAAAAATGATCACAATAATATAATAAACAACATACACAATGCACTTCGAGAGTGTACGGTGAGAGTTCATTTAATTCATATTTTCTTTATCTTTTATTTTATTATGTCTCGTACCACCCGGTACAGGCAAGGTTGCATTCCAGAATACTTGAACCTCTCATGGTTCATCCCTCTCGAGAGAGCGTTGACCGGTTCAATGTATATTAGTAAGTTTCAGTTCTGTCGTAAACGGCAATAGTTAAACATCTGTTTGTTTGAATTGAAGGAGTTATATTTTCAGGAGTGAATAATTTTTGGGAAAGAAAGTTTTTGGCTTTCTACTACTCCATCTTGATACAAAAAAAGGGATGAGGGAATCTTCCATATTCACGCACTGTAAAAATATTCCAATACCTGCTATCGAAGTAAATAGTTAAATTTTGAAGTAGTGTTTTATTAACAAGGTTAACGCTACAAAATTCAGTTTAATCATACAAACAAAACAGAGAGAGTGGGTAAAATAAAAAGTGAATAAAAACAAACATGTCAGGTGTGAGCAGAGAAGTATATACAGAAATTTACCTGCTTAATCTGATAGATGTCACAGTTAATCTTTTTAAATAAATAAACATAAAAATAAAATTTGAGTGTTATAAATCAGTTAGAAATTTCTCTCATTCTCATTAAACTACTAATGAAGTCCATATTCTTAATAAAATATTCCATAACCATAAATAATCTACCTGTAGTGAATTCTGTGAGTGTGCCTTAATGCTATCGATTTGAAGTTTTCGCCATTACATTGTGAATGCAAAGATCAATAAACATGCCAAGTTCTATTAAGAAAATTTCAGAAAAGGTAGTGTATGAAAAATTTGTTAGATTATTTGAGGAAAACAACATAGTTAGTTCAATCTGGATTTCGTAACAAGCGTATTTGTGAAACAGCATTTCTGCTGTTGTTTAACAAAATAATCTACTTGAAAGTTTTGATGAAAAGTATTGCANTTTTCAAATCTTTTTTCAAATTTCCAAAATTTTGAAAATTTTCCGAGATATTAAGAAAAAACTAAAGCCCATTTTTTTTTGACTCAGTTGTTTATAACTTTTGTAATTTTTATCGGCGCGTTTTCGGACCTTTCCTTAAACTTTCTAGGCAAAAATACGAATCGAATGACACCTTGGTCGTAATTTTTGGACAGGGCTGAAAAATGTTACAAAAAAAGTACATTTGAACTAGACTAAATTGACAGATGAAACTTTCAAGATGGCGACTGGGCGCCAAATTACTAATTTGTGTTCCTACACTCCACCTGAAAATTTCCTATACCCGCCGCATATTAAAAAAAAAAATCGGTCAATCCTTAGTGCGACTCTGTACAAACAGCCTTGTCTGGGAGATCACGTGCACTATGCACGACGTTTTGGAGCACTTCATTGCTTAGATGGACAGGGTATAGTAACTTTTGGAAAAGGTGGTAGGTGAAAGGTGGTCAAAACGGGTAAGTAGTCTATTTGTAATTTTTTTCTAGTTTTCGCACTGATTCGTAGTCCAGAAAAGTTCTTGAGTTTATAACAAGGAAAAAAGACTCAACTCACTCCACGGCTTCATGTCGTGTGGTCAACTGTCCTACCACTTTCCCTATTTGTTGGGTACATAACTATCCTTTCCTTTTCCTCTAATACACAAAAAATTACCGGCAAGTATATTTGTCACACATTGCATCAAAATTAAAAAATGTGTGATCTTACGTTCTGTGGTTCCAACGATTTCTAGTTTTATTGTGAGTAATGAAAAATAATGTATTAGGAACATTTCATTCTGTGACAGCTAGTAATTTTTTTTATGTTACTTCGATTAATGCTCTACGATATTTGCTAATGATGTCTGTTCAGGATGTAATTAGTAGAAAAAAACCATTGCAATAATTATTTTTTCAATTGTTTTTCCTGATATAAGGTCACCTTCATGAAATAATTGATTATTGACTCAACCCCGGTTGATTTTCGAAACATTATGAAAAATTGTAAAATAGTCTTCAAGAAAAATGTATATTTGAATTTTTTATATTTCCGAATTTCCAAGATAAGCTGTTAAGCATTGTCAAGTGTTATACAGAGCGTTCCAACGAAAACTTGACCCCCCTGTAAGTCAGAAATGTATGTGTAATCGAAAATTTCAAAGAACACGTCAATTTTTATTTCTAGGAGGACTTATCCTGATATGAAAATCATACGCGAAACTTCACACCCCTGCGGTCAGCAACTATCCCCCTACTTTTTTATTGGCATAGGGGGGTCGAGTGATGCATCATTTGGAAGGTCTTTTGTCCCTTTATCACTTCTGTGATTTTTTTCGAAATTGGTTGATTTGTTATTGAGAAATTAAATGATGAACGTTTTATTTAAGAATAAACAGAAAATTCGCTGTTGCTCATTTTATTGAGGAAATAAACGAAAGTAATATCAATGGCAACACAATCAACGGATTAAAGTGTTCAAAATGACCTCCATTTAGTTCCATACAATAATACAGTCTACTTTCGAAAGCGTTCCTTACATTATTGAAGATGTTCGGAGTCAGAAATCGGCATTCCAGAACAATTCTCTGTCGCAGGTCTTCTAGATTTGTAGAATTTATTTAATTAATAGTAAACGTTTTGAAATGGACGACACTGGTAGTTTTTTTTTAATCTAGTTGTCGCAGAACAAAAAATAGTTAGTTGGCCACTGTCACTTCTTCACGAATTATTATTCACTCATCCTTGTTTACTGTGTTCCAACATGGTTTATTCTACTGAAGAAAGAATAGAAATTATTACAACCCATTATCGAAATAATGAATGTGCTAAAGCTGCTGCAAGAATTTATAATACGAATCGTCCAGACCACAACGTGAGCCATCAGAAGGTTAAACAGTTAACGGATAATTTTCAGGTTCTGTTCACAACAGAAAGCATGAAGTATCCCGTCCTGTCAGAAATGGATAATCGACTATCTATCAGACAAGTTGCTAGAGCGTCTGGTGTATCAGCTACTAGTGTTTTTTGGATTTTGAAAGCCTACAAATTCCATTCTTACAAAACAAGGCTAGTTCAAGAATTAAACGAAGATGATCCTGATCGTCGACTTCAGTTTTGTGAGGTGTATATCGAAGAAATTGACCAATAACCCAAATCCATTATACTACATGTTTTTCAGACGAAAGTTCTTTCATGTTGAATGGTGAAGTGAATAGACGTAATTGTCGTTACTGGAGCGATGTGAATCTTCCTCCCTTTTTTTGAAAACAAAACAGCAAACTTCATAGATGTACACTGATGGCATTATTAAAACTCGGAAGTTTGCAAATACTACTCGAAATGAATCAGTTGATTTTAAATTTGCCAAAATACGAAAAGCTCTTTTTTGTGAGACAAAAACTCTAGAAGCAAGGGGTGACGTCCTCCAATGCATCATGCCATATTTTAAGTTCCTTTAAGATTCTTTTAAGTTTAAGAAAGAAAAATAACATATAGT